ACAGCAACAGCAAGAGAAATATTATTATGTCCATGTAGTTCCATCATCTAACCTCTAGAGTTGACTAAGACTCTTTTGATTAGTATATACCAAATTAAGGTTGTGGTGTAAAGCATTTCTCTCTAAAAACAAGAAAGAATTAACTCTATGCAATTTTATGCACTGTATAATTTACACTGGGGGTCCATTTGTTCCTAAGTATCATTTAAATGTCTTCTTAAACATTTGCTACTTATGTGTGTTTACTTTGGTTTGAGAGAGTGTCTCACTATATATGCCAGGGTGGGCTTGAACTATGTAGCCCATAGCTGGCTTCAAACTTGTGGCAATCCTTCTGCCTCAGCCTTTGGAGTGCTGGGATTATAGGAGTACGGTACCAAACCAGGCTAGATTTGCTTTTTACAAGACATATTCACTAGACATGTTTACAATTTTCGAGTATTCAAGCCCTATTCATCCAATAAGCACTTACAGAGCAGCTCAGCCCAGAGTTGATGTACCACAATAAAGATGTAACACAACTTCCTGAAACTAATGCTCCTTACTGATCTTTGGGCTAAGTTCAGACAAACAACAGGAACATAAATACGCAGACTTTAAACCTCCACATACAAGCTACAACTCCCCAAAATGCTAAGACTGTCACTGGGCTACCTGGCCTCATCCAGTGTGCTACAGAGTCAAGGGAGTGTGAATAATGGTGAGGCAACAATTCCTAAGTCACCATTTTTAGGAAGAACCACAGGAATTATAGGATGTTAGAGAAGCCACACATTCAAGAATGCGGCATATGATTTCCACCTTAGAACACAACTGAGATGAAAAATTCATTTCAGACCAAATATTACTAGATACATGTAGCCAAGTAACAAAAAGAAAACCCCAAACAAAAAAAACAAAACTACGGCTGAGGGCCGGGGATATAGCTCAGCAGTACAAGCACCTGCCTGGCAAGCACAAAGTCCTGAGTTCGATTCCTGGTACAAACAAATCCCCCCCCAAAAAAAAACTATGTTGAAATGTGGAACAATTGAGCAGGTTCATTTGTTAGATAGTTACTATCGTATCAGGGGAAACAAAAATACAAACAAGATAGCTAACATAATTGTACTACTAATTTCTATTGGTTTACTGAAAGGAATAGTCAGTGAGTAATTTTAAAAAAATGTTTTGGACCAATTTTGCATGCTTCTCTCTGGTAATGTGAACAACTACTTTAAAGATAACAATATACAATATAGGGCCAGGATACAGCTCCGTGGCACAGCACCCGCCTGGCAAGGGCAAAGACTAGCTGTTAGCAGAGAGCATAGAAGTACAGTGCTCATAGTTGTAATCATAACGGTATTCCACGTCTTGAAAAATTAATATGTAATTAGAATACTAAAAAAGCACCCACTAACAGAAACTGTTAAAGTTCCCATTGCAGTTGTTCTAAGCACCCAGATGTAGCTGTACAAGGAGAAAACTGAAGAAAATCTCACACACAGAAATGGAAATCTCAGCTGGGGACAGTGGTGCACACCTGCAATGCCAGATGAGGCTGAGAGGCAAGATCATCACAAATTTGCGGTCAGTCTGCACACCAGTGAGCTCTTGGCTCAAAATTTGTTTATTTACTTATTTATTTTTTGTCTTTTTGAGACAGGGTCCCTATGTAGTTCAGGCTGGCCCTGAGCTTACTTTGTAGCTCAGGTTGGCCTCGAACTTGAAATGATCCTCCTGCTCAGCCTCCCAAGTGCTGGGATCGTAGGTGTGTGCCACCACTCCCGGCTCTCAAAATTTTAAAAAATGAAAATTAAAATAAAGGGCTAGGGATATAGCTCACTGGAAAAATACATCCCTAGCATGAGCAATGCCCCAAGTTCAATCCCTAGTCTGGCAAAATCCAAAAAACCACAAAAAAAAACAAAAAACCTAAAACAATGTTAACTATTTTGTATTGCAAGCATAGATAATTAATATGGAAAATCTTTTGTTTTGACAAGGTCTCATTTCGGAGTTCAGGCTAGCCTTGAACTCACCACATAGCCCAAACTGGCCTAAGACTTGCAGCAATCCTCCTGCTTCAGCTTCCCAAGTGCAGGATTACAGGTATGTGCCTGCACATCTGGCAGAAAATCTTTCTAAAAAATTCATTAATGAAATGTAGACAATCTAAATGGTGTTAAATGGACATTATATGCAATTATATAAATATATATACACACATATACATACCCACACATGTATCAGGAAATAGAGATATGTATAAATTTTTCTTTCACAGATTTGAGTCTTTTTCCATTAGGAAAAACTACACTTAGAATATAATCAGATTATTAAATAAACAAAAATTTTAGTCTTAGGCTCTTGAAAGCTCCCTAGGAATTTAGTTATACTATATCCTATAATATGTATCTCAGAGTTTCCATTATTTTAATATATACTGTGAAAGCGGGGCAGAGTATCAAGTCTCAAATCTTTCTGGCCCAGATATTTAAGCCAGAACTCCTACATACTTTGGGAAATCCTGCTACTGGCAGTCAAGTAGTAGAAGTGGTGGACATGACCTAGCAATCTTTAAAACTCTTATTAAAGGAGTCAGTGGGCTTTGGCCCAAATTGCTTTTAGAGACTGAATCTTTAAAGACAATATTCACTACTATATTAGACAAGACGTATTAAAGAAACTGCAAAGGATATGTAATATATTATACATTAATGTTTTTTTAAAGCCAGGTTTTCTGATTCAAAATAGAAGCTTCATGATATGGACAACTTTGCTGATGCTTAAGCACTATTGAAAAACAAACATTTAAACAATATAACATTAACATGGCGCACAAAAGCAGCTGAAAATAATTGTTATGCTGCTGAGTCTATTTATCTTAAGCATGTTTCCTATGCATGGGGGAAAAAACTGGCAGAAAAACTGTATTATTTACCTTACTAGATGGATTTGAGATTTTGAATTCTCATATGTATTTGTTTATCATTACCCACTAAACACATGTATAACTTTTGCTTCTAAGAGATGAATTCTAAGAAATTGCTACATGACAGTGGGAATAACTGTTTCACGTATTTCAAGACTTTTTGAAAGTATGGAATTAAAAAACAGCCACAAATACCTTTAAAAATATACTGAAGCTTAATTACATATCCCTTACAAAATACTGAATCTTAAACAGGCGTGGTGGTGCACGCCTGTAGCTGCAGTGCTTGGGAGGCTGAGGCAGGAGGACCCCTGCAACTTCAAGCCCAGCCTGTGCTACAAAATGAGCTCAAGGCCAGCCTGAACTGCATAGCAAGACCCTGTTTAAAAAGACAAAATAAAAACACAAAAAAAAAACCCCAAACTGAATCTCAGTCATGTGATTCCTCTGATATCATCTAATTCAGAAGCTTCATTGAGGAACTGGGAGTTTAAGGGTGGGTAAAAAGGGGGTGAATATGATCAAATTACATTACTTAGGCACTGAAGCCTTTCCCCCCAAAAAAGTGAAACTAGGAGGCTAGGAGGGGTATTGATGGGGGAGCTGAAAATGATTAAATATATTGTATGCATTTATGAATCTGCCAAAATGAAACCCATCAATCTGTAAAACAAATATGCACTAATAAAAAATTAAAGAGATCTGGGAATGCTGGCACACTCCTATAATACAAGCACTCAGGAGCCTGAAGCAGAATGATCGCAGGAAGTTGAGGTCAGCCTAGGCTACATGATGAGTTCAAGGTCAGCCTGACCTAGTAAGACCTCATCTCAAAAAAACCCCAAATAGATGGATAGCTAGAACTTCACTTCACAGAAGCAAGTTAAGCCCCAAAGAGGCTGTTTTGCCTGTTACGTGAGCTTTTTTTATTAAATCCAATTCTCTAATTTGCAGACAAATTGACAAAAATTTGTTAGTTGTCTCCTTTCTAAACTGTGCCTTATGTTCTTCTAATATCCGTCCTACTATAACTGCTGCACAGTGTTTACCTTTTCTCCTCTTTCATCTTTTCCCCCAGATCTCATTTTCCTGGAAATGCTCTTTTCCATTAATGACTTGCCTTTTCTAGTCTCGCATTCAAAAGGATACTCTTACATGTATGCAGTATTGCGAAAACTATGAACAGTCAAGTACGTGAAGTCCCCAACTTATGAACAAGTTAAATTCTGGGAGAGTATTTGCAAGTCGGACTCATTTGTAAGTTTCGATAAAGCCAGTCACATGTACCTTTGACACAAGTCTCCAGATCACCACTGCTTCTCCTCTCGCTTCCAGACATCCTGGGCTCTGACTGCACACTGCACCACCGTACACTATCACACTGTACAGTAAGTGCACAGCCGCACAGCCATGACAATGTCTGGCAGACATGTGAGCTACTTCTGTGATTACTCTGCATCTACAAATGTTCATGTGAGGTCCACTCATATTTGTGGAAGTTTACAACTCTAATGTTTGTAAGTTCGGGACTTACTGTATATACAGAATAAGAATTTAAGGCCAGGCGTGGTGGTGCACACCTGTAATCCCAGCACTCAGGAGGCCAAAGCAGGAGGATCGTCACAAGCTCAAGATCAGCCTGGGCCACAACCTGAGCTCAAGGCCACCCTGCACTGCAGAGCAAGACCCTGTCTCAAAAAGATCCCCCCAAAAAGAATTCAAAGTTAACTCTTTCACTGTTCATTCTAAATACAATATAACTGAGCATGTATTAAGAAGCTTCCATTACCAAGAAACAGAATCCAAATCAAATCTTACTATTTGAGAAATCAATTCAACTCACACTTATGTATTTTAGCTACAGTACAACCATGTTCCAGATTAACCAGGCAATCAAAACGTAAAAGGCTGTCATCTCAACAAAAATCAAAGTAGAAAGGTGGGTTTTCAAGCTTGAGGTCTCGTGAACGGTTCTTTTCTTTCCTATGCAGTCAACTTAGGTACTCATAATCACACAATTCAAACACCAAAATGTTTTTTGTCACTGTATGATTCAATTAGAAGAAGAAAAAGAAAATCTTACCCCCAATGGTACTCTCTTGAAATTCATGAAACTGGCCTTTCACAAAACGAAGCACTAGGCTTGATTTGCCAACAGCAGACTCTCCCAGAAGTACTAATTTGAACTGGCATATTTTATTTCCAGTATTTGGCCCGTTAGGTCTTGTTGCTCCTCGATTAGCCATGTCCAAATATGAAAGAAATCCCTAATTTCAGACTCCTAAATGAACTGCCAGGATGCAAGGTGTTGAATTTTTCTTTCTGGAGGTAAAGAAATCTGCAAAGAAACAAAGATACAAATTACTAAAACAAAACAAATCTAACATAAATTACATTAATACGTTTTGTCCACCGCATATTATTGTATAATTATTATAATTCCAAGTGGACATTCAACTTTGTTTTACTATCTTTTTAAGAAAACAGCCCGGTGTGGTGGAGCACATCTGTAATCCCAGCACTCAAGAGGCTGAGGCAGGAGGATCGCTGCAAGTTTGAGACCATCCTGGACTACAAAGTGAGCTCAAGACCAGTCTGAACTGCAGAGCAAGACCCTGTCTCAAAGACAAAAAAGAGAAAGAAAAAAAAAAAAAATCGAAAGGCTTAAGATTCAAACCTCACATTACTTTGGAATTTTCAGGGCTTTGAAAACAACAACAAAAAAGCTACTCTTCATTACAGACTTTGCTTTATGCCAAGTAATATTTTATGTATTTAACATAGCCACCACATAGAGTTAGGTACTATGTACACCCCTTGTAAATGAGGAAACAGAGACAGAAAGGTTAAGTAACTTAACTGAAGTCATACAGTAACTGTGACAAAGGTGACAGAGCTAAGTTTCAAGCCCAGCAACCTGAGAGGTGACTCAAGAGCTCGGGTTCTAAAGTCAAACTGCCTAGGTTAAAATTATTCTGAGGAAAATTAATAAATGAAAAGCTTCTAAATACAACCTAGAGTTTGGTATCTCATGGCCTCTGGTTAAATAAAATGCTTTTCATTTAATTAATGGAAATTTTAGAGAAAAAATACATTAAAAGCTCCCAGACTTATGTGCCTAGTGGATAAAAGACTTAAACCTGTTCCCTTATCTGCTCATACATAGAGATCCTGTCTCAAAAAAAAAAAAAAAAAAAAAAAAAAAGAAAGCTAACAGTTGTTCTTTATTTAGTGGGACTACTAGTGATTTACTAGTTTAGCCTCATCTTTGATCAGAATCTAATGGTTACTAACAAAATATATTAAACTGCCCAGCTACTCAGAAGGCTGAGGCTGGACGACTGCAAGCCTGAGGTTAGCCCTTTACAACTCAGTGAGACTGTCCCAACCTAAGATTTCAAAAGAGGACCGTGAATGTAGCTCAGTGCTACAGCACTTGCCTACTGCGTGCAAGGCCATTCAATCCTATATAGCCAGTCTGGGATACAAAGTGAGTGGAAGGCCAGTCTGAACTGCAAAGAGAGACTCTGTCTCAAAAGATAAAAAACAAAAAGAAATTTACCTTCCCTATAAAATTTGAGTCTATACAAAAAGCATCCCTGATAATGATGAATTTGTTAATAAACATATCCAGATCTTAGATCTCAAAACAGTAAAAACCACTTTTTTGTCTTATCTCATGCTCATTTATCTTTGAAGAGTCCTCCTTATCTTCTACCAATACATAATGTCACACTGCAGATGAAATGACAGGAACTACTTCCAACTGATGGGGTTATACAAGCCTTATATAAGGATATCTTACTTCACTCCTCTAAAATATACCAGATTTGAGCCAGGCGCGGTGGCACACTCCTGTAATCCCAGCACTTGGGAGGCTGAGGCGGGAGGATCATTGAGAGGTTGAGGCCAGCCTGGGCTACAAAAGTGAGCTCAAGGTCAGCCTGAACTGCATAGCAAGACCCTTTTTCAAAGAAGAGAGAAAAAAAAAAATACCAGATTTGGGAGTCTAATCTTGGCTATACCAATTTCCACCTATTCAAATTCTTTTAATATCCAAGTCTGTATTTCCATAATACCTAACTTGCATAGGTGCTGTGAGAAATGGGAAAATGTATGTAAACAATCTCTACTACACTGCTTACTGTATACCAATGACTGAAATTGGCAATTAAAGCAGCCCTTTGATGAGATAATGCTCATAGCTGAAAATAAGATACAGATTATCAATTTAAATCCTTTCCGAATGGCACTTAACTACATAACAATAAATTATCAAGATCATGCTCACTGGGTGTGATGGCCCAAGCCTATAATCCCGGTACTCAGAGAGGCTGACACAGGATGATCTCCATCAGTTCAAGACCAGCCTGAGACAAAAACAAAAAACAAACAAACAGCCGGGCGTGGTGGCGCACGCCTGTAATCCCAGCACTGGGGAGGCTGAGGCAGGAGGATTGTTGCAAGTTCCAGGCCAGCCTGGGCTACAAAGTGAGCTTAAGGCCAGCCTGAACTGCATACTGAGACACTGTCTCAAAAAGACAAAAAACAAACAAACAATCAAGGCCAGCCTCGGCTGCACACCCAGAGCCTGTCTCAAAAAACAAAACAAACCACCACAACAAAATGCTCTGAATTTCTATGGTACTTTCAAAATTTCAGGGAAACATTGTTACAGACAAACCAAACGAGATTCTAATTTAGGTCTTTCAAGGTTTAAAGTTACCGAATCATGTTTACCCTTAAATATGTCAATTTAAATTTAATAGTAGCAGTTACCATAACCTTAAGGTTAAAACTTATGTGTAAGGGCAGCCGGGCACGGTGGTGCATGCCTCTAATTCCACAGCCTCGGGAGACTGAGCCAGGAGGATCAATGAGAGTTCGAGGTTATTCCAGTTTATACGGTGACTTCAAGGCCAAGTGTCTCAAAAACCCAACCCAACCAAACCAACGGCATGGGCTAGCAGTGCAACTCAGCAAACTACTTACGCATGCAAGAGGCCCTGGGTTCAATCTCTTGCACGCACAGAAAATAAACAGACCAAAACAGAACAAAAACCTCACCTAATCCCTTACATTCACTATCAACTGAAACTTTTGCTTTTGCAAAATAAAGATTCTGCCTAAAATGCATTTTTAAATCTTTGGAAAACAATGTGCAGTCTATCGTTTAAAAAAAGAGCATCCTGTAATCAAAACATTACCGCTAGGCGTACTTTGTTTGCAACAACGCTACGAGTTCAGATTACCTGTTTTATCTTAAGAATAGATTCTGGGCAGGCCTGGGAGTACCCAGAGACTAACACATAGGAGTCTTTTCTTACCTGAAAGGCAACTGCTTAGACACTACGACTTCACTCCAGCAGGAAAAAACTAAACATAACAGATATGAGTTTAAAACGTCCCGAAGTCGGGGTGGGGGGATACCCAGCTTCCACGGGGGGAACACGAGAGCAGCTCTCAGGGTCTCTACTCCCTAGGAGAGCCCAACGGCCTAGTTCTCTCGCATCTCTCTAACGCCGCGGTGCACTGCCTCCCGCACGACGCGAGCGTCCCCGGACTGCCGGTTCAGCCGAGTTCCCACCGCTTCCACCACCGGTCTTCGCCAGGCGCCGGGGGCGGAGCTCCCCAAATTCACACCTGCCGCAATCGAGGCTCCGGGCTGGAGACCACCGGAGGAGCAGCGGCCGGCCGGCGCCGCCCGCGCCCGCGCAGAACCCCAGCCCCTCGGCCGTCCCGCACCCTCCCCGGGGCCCGGCCTAGTTCTGCCCGAGACCCCCGGGACCGCCGGGGCCGGGGCCAGGCACAGCCGCGGCCTCCAGCCCTCTCGCCACGGCGCCATCTTGAGAAGGGAAGAGGGTGACACCCGGCGCTCCCCGAGCCAGGCAGCCCCAAGTCGCGGTCGCTCCGGCCCCCGGAGGGATGCGTCACAGGGCCCGGCAGGACTGGGCGCCGGGATCCGCGGCGCGAG